CTCGGTGCCATCCCAGTGAACAGACAGCAGATTAGGTTCACTGCTGTTGCTTTGTTGTGCTCATCTCAGGCACAAGTGATTGTTCTTGGTAGTGATTTAGCCTGGGCACCATGGAAACTCAAGCTCAGAGCTGCACCAAAGCTTGGTGATCACTGGTCCAACTCTCCCATTTTAACAAACATCCTTGGCTCATAGTAAAAACTCAATCAGATGTCTTCTGTATTAGAAGAGTTTGGCTGGTTTCTCTTCATTTAATTAAAGCTTCCTTGCATAATATTTTCTAATGGTCATAGAGGGGTTTCAAAGTGATTAAAACATAGTTTCAATCTTCAAAGAATTTAGGACTAGGGCTCCCTATTTTCTTCATAGCATAAAGACCCTTTTGTCAAAAAAAGCAGTAGTTCTTTCAATGTCCATTGTTTATGAATACATATTTTTAAATATATTCATATTTTTTAAATATTAATATGAATTTGGTGACGTTCCTAAATGAATTTGTAATTTGCTAATTTCAAGGGTTTCCACAGAAGTCTGGAAAATAGTGGCACAGGCATGTATGAGATTTAGTTTTCACTCTGCCTGCAGACCGCATTTGAAAATACATAGGGAAATTGTAGAGAGATTAAAATAGCTACTCTCACCAATTGGGAATCACTGACTTGCAGAATCGTCTTGGTGTCTGACAATTTAAAACGTAAGGCATAACAAGTTAGAAGTGAGTGGTTGGATGGATATTAATAATTGTACAAGTTCAAAGAAGAGGAGCTTGCTGTGGTCTGAGGTAGCCAGGCATGGTTCTTAAGAGGTGAAGCCCTTGAGCTTGAAAATCAAAGTTGAAGAGGCTTGCCCATATATAAAATTTAAGAATAAAGCATTTAAAAGCCCCTGAGAGTCTGCTTTTGAAGCAGACAGCCTTAAATGTATCAAGTAAAGAACAAGTACCAAGTTGAGAATGAGAAAAGTCCATGTTCCAATGAGTAACTTGGGCAAGTCACTTAGTGTACTCAACAGTTTTCTCCTGGATAACATAGGCCTCGCCTGTCCCAAATATTTCACAGGAGATTTGGTAAAACCAAATAATGCAAGGTAAATAAGGGGCTCCATTTTGTAAGTTATAACTTTACCAAGTAATATTATTTTGAAAGCCCAGAAGTTATTTAACATGCCAGTGAGACTGAGCAGGCTCTTGTGTTGATAGGACTCTTCTGCAAGAAACATGATTCTAATAGAAACAAAACAGATTGATTGCAAGAATGTCCTAGGAGAAGTAAGAAACATATGATGGGACACACAGAATCAAAATAATCTGAAGATCCAGGCTCAGAAAAAATAAAAATCAGAAAAAAGACTTCAGGGCATTGGAGTATCGATAGCAGGAATTGCTTGATGGCCTCATATTTTCCTTTGCCTTCCTCGAGCCTTACATCCAATTCAAAGTCCCATAGTGGAAGAGTCTAGGGGACAGGGCATGTAGACTCATAGTGCCATGGAGATTAGGAACCAGGAAGATAAGGTAATTTCCCAAAAGGAAGTCAAAGGGTTGTTATGTTAAAAAGGAGCAAAGGAAGGTGGGTAGACAGAAAACAAAGATCCAACAGGAACAATTTCTAAAGATCACACATGCATTTACTTAACCACATTTCTTGACCAACTTGATATCCAGTTGTGAAAAAATAGTGGTGAATAAGCAAAAGAAATGGGCATGTTCCAGCTACTAGAATGTACGCCAGACCAACTGCTTCACCGTGGCCTTGCCAGTGGCCCTGGGCAGCAGTGAGTTTGTTCTATGTGGGTCACAGATCTGCAAGGAGGGCCTCCACCCAGGGAGTTATTACACCTGGCCCTTGGCCCACTTCCTTTGGTTTCAAATGTACCGTCACTGACACACCTGAGCAAGACTGGGAACCTTGAATTGTTTTATGGCTGCAGGATTTAGTTTGAGCCATAGCCTCTCTCTTCTGTCTGATTTTGTGTTCCTTTCCCCCATGACCCCCATATATCACAAGTATTCAATAAATGCTTAAATTCATAAACAAATGAAAGGGAGACCAGGCTAGCCCAGGTTGGGATCCCGGACTTCGAAGACATTTTTTTTTTATCAGCCGAGCCAAAGACTTTCCAGAAAAAAGTGACTTCACTCCTACAAATCAAAGTTAATATTACAACTGAGACTTCCCTTAATTTTGTAGATCAGTCTTTACAGTGATGTCTGCATTGTTTCTTCTCATCCATCACCATTAAAGATACACCTTCCTAAAGTTACCCTCTCCAGTACTAACCTCACCTCAACAAATCTTCATGGTGCGCCTCTTAAATGAGGTCTTCTGGGAGCTGCCACTAATCTTTCATCTGTGCTTCCAAATAACACTGGGGCCAAGACAGCAGACACTTTTAAGAGTCAGCCAAGCTAAGAATAAAACACTGTCATCCTGCTCTCCTAGCTGAATAACACTGGGAAGACATAGATTCTCTCTAAGCTTTAGTTTCTTTATTTGTTAAGAAAAAATAAATAAAAGATGGACCAGGGATTTAGCTCAGTGGTTCCACTGCTTGCTTTGCAAGCATAAGGTCCTGAGTTAGATCCCTGGTACCTAAATAAAGAAAGAAAGAAAAAAAGAAAAGAAAAGAGCATATACTTGGTAGAGTCCATCATGAGAATTAAAGGAAGTACTTTGCATAAAATACGTAGATGGCTCATGATATACACTAGGTGCTCAGTAAGAGCCACAACAGTGATGAAAACGAGAGAAAGAGGAAGAGGAATACAGGTATGATGACGATGATTGGCTTTCTATTCCAATTATATGAGTTGCAATCCCAGCTCTGCTACTCACCCATTGTGAGATAATCGTTTGCTTCAGGCTCTATTTGTACACGTGTCCAAACTTAAAGTAACTGTGAGAATGTACTGTCAGTTGCCCGGTCCACATTAAGTGCCCAAGACAGGTAGGTCTACCCTCATGAGAGGCAGAGGCATATACTCTTCTCTGTGTGACATTTTCTCCCTGTACCTTGACTACAGCCAGTACCTTAGATGAAAGACTGAATCAAAAAGGAAAAGTTAATAATTTGAGCTTCATTCATACACTAAGAAAAACTAGGATGGTAAGAGGAGTCCTGCCCCTCTCAAAAGGGAATCACAGTTCCTGAACAAGGTTAAAATAAGGGTTCTGGCAGATTCTGTGCAGTTTGGCAGCTCCTCCATCCTCAGGTTGTATCTCAACAGCTCCTCGGGAGTGAGCAGCCACAGACCCTTAAAGGCTAGGGGGGCCTCCGTGGTGGGTTTTGCAGCCAGCAGGACCATGTGCCTTTCTGAGCAGTCTATCTTAGAAAGGGAAGTGCCAGCCCAGGGACTAGGTAGCTAGGAGGAATAAGGTCACCTCTCCATGCAGAGGGAAGCCTGGCAGGGGGCCCTTGCCAGTGCCTGAGAGGAAGTACACTCAGAGATCCCCCTCAGGGCACCGAGAGAGTCCAGCTTCATCATTGCTGAGGATCCACAGGGACCACAGGGACAGAGAGTCACTGCGGAAGGGTCATTAGCTCTGAGGCCCCGCTGTCACTCATCTCCGAAATGAGTCTGGGTTTTGAAACCAGCCAGGAGCTGAGTGGTGCAGATCAGGAGTGAAGCACACAGTTTCATCAGGGGAGGGAAGCAGCTGACAGATTACAGCATGATTTGTCATCATCTCAGAACTTGGCAAGTGTTTGTCCCTGAAGGAATCGATACCTGGAGGGGAAAGGGCCATATTTTTAGAAACTCCTGGATGGGTAATTTATTTTGAGAGAGTGAAGAGTTTATGCTGGTTCCCCTACGATATATTTGCACAGAGACCAAAAATGCTGTCATTTCTTTGGGTCATTTGGCCCCTTTGAACAAGGGGACCTTGCATCTCAGCAATAATGTTCAATCCCTGAGCTAAAGGCTCCACTCAAGAAACCATTTCCAATCCACCTTTATACATGTGTTACACATTTTAGAACTTTCACACACAGATTCTCTCTCCTGAGGCACAAATGAGGCCATGTACCGGGCCAGTTAAAAAAAAAAAAAAAAACAGGTCTGCAGTAAGACTTGGATGCAGATCCCAGCCTCAGCATGAGGTGGACAGGCTGTCTACCCTTCTGAATTAGTTCCTTGCTCTAAAGAAGGGTAAGTGAAGCTCCTGTTGCATAGACTAATTGGAAACTTTGAAAAGAAATAACATGCATAAAGTTAGCAGCACAGGGTCCAGCCGAAATAAGCGTCCAGTAAGTGCCATTTATTTGGGCTCCTGTTTTTACAACAGTTTTATAACAGCAAAATAAAATGAAACACTAAATACTCGATAGTGAAGTGGTTAAAGGAAATACAGTGCATTCATATAGTAGGTTTCTATTCAAGTGTTAATGTCTTTAAATCAATGTAAATATGTTGAAGATACAGGAACACATTTTTGAAATGCACAAATGTGCATATAAATACATAAATAACCACATGAGGGATAGATCTTTTAAACCCTGACCTAGTGTACAGAAGTGTATCCGATGTGGCCATCTCTAGATAGGCCGTTCACAGTCCCTTTCTTTGGATTCTGTGTTGCTCGGGACCCTCTAGGTCCATGTGGCTGTTTAAATTAAAATTAAGTTTGAAAACCAATTCCTGGGTCACACTACCATCCTCCAGGGCTCAGAGCCTCATGTGACCCCAGGCAGTGCAGACTCACAACCTGACCGTGGTGGCAGCGAGTTCTACTGGACAGCACAGGCCAGGGGCTCAGAGCCACGTGTGCCAGAGAAGCAGGTCCAGCCCACATCCGACTTCTCATTCCTTCTCATTCGCATCTGCTTTCTCCTCCCCAGTGCGGATTTAACTCTTTTCTTCTGACACGTTACAGCTACTACAGGGTGGCAACACAGGGATTACCTCACTCACCACGGTTCTAATGGTGATGAGCTCGCTGACGATCCTATTAAGACCAGATCCCTCTGACTTAATAACCTCACAGTCCTCTCTCCCACAGGAGGGACGGTTCCAGCCGGAGCATTTCCACAACACTATTGTGTGTGAAAAACCCAACAACCACTTCAACAAATTTAAGGGTTACCTGTAAGTATTGAATACCCCTTCAGTCTTAGTACATATGACCTGTGCAGCTGGAAAGTGTGTCTTCTTGAAATGGCCAGATAAGCACCTAGGTCCTGAGGGAGCTTCTTTTTATTATAAAGAAGAACTAGAGGGATCTAAGATAGGAAATATTTTCTTTTTCATTTTCAGTTCTGAGTGACTGTTGATCATTTGCCCAGGTAAAGTGCAATAGTGGTTTATTTAGAACTTCGGTGGAATAGCATCAAAATTAAGGCCGTGCTGTGATTCAGGAGAGGAAAATGTTGTAACTAAGATGGATCTTAGGAAAGACACTGTACTGATTTGGGGGACTCAGTGTTTTGGGCTTGAATCAAGAGTGTTTCCAATCTTAAGCCGTGTGAGCTTGGGTAAAATGATTAACTCCTCCGTTGCCACATCTGTAAAACGCAGATCATTAATAGATTCTTCTTTTCTAAGATTTATGTTTACCACTTGCAAAGCCCTTAGCAGAGTGACTGGCAAACAATAGATGTTAAATAAATGGCAGCCTCTATAACTGCAATTCTTGTTATTCATCTTTGGTTCAGCCTGAGAATTTTAATTGAAATTCCCTCGACACATCATCAGACTATTGGCCTTTCTGCAAAATAAGAGCAATGATAGCAGGTATGAATAAATGCGCTTCTCCGGTGTTTTCGTAGTTCTTAGGATGTTCACAGAACATCATCTCCTGCAGACTTCACGACGGCCCAGGGAAGCGGGATGTGATCACCACTTTCAGACAGGGATCGGGGATGTAACACTTCAAGGTGCATCCAGACTCACGCAGTAGATGCAGGACAAAGTCAGGACTTCGATGTGAACCTTTTGACTCCAAGCCCAAAGTGTTTGCCACTGCCCTGGTTTACAGAGCTCGGCCATATTCTGGCAATTTCCTAGCGACAGGGCCCAGGAGGAGATTTGAGAAGACTCATGGGCATGCAGGTGGCTCTGTTCTCTTCCACCTACAAGTTCTTTTGCCATATGGGATATCAGAAGGAGAAATCTCAGCAGGCAAAGAACAATATAAGAGAAAGAGTAGTCTATTTTTGGTGCTGGGAACTGAACCTAGGGGTTCCCACGCACATGTTCTACCATTGAGCTACGTTTCAGCTGAGCAGCCGTAGCTTTTAAAGGCAGATTAGTTTGAAATGCTCACAGGAAACAGATGGAGATTCGCAGTACAGGGCAGGAGCTGGAAAAGAGGAAGACCTTATTGCAGGCACCTGGCCAGGTAGAACTGGCAAGAAATGTACCCCTGTGTCCAAGGCTTCTGGAGTTGTTTCCTAAGCCATGTGACTTGAGCCATCCTTCTTATTGGTTCAGAGGACAACTTCATTGCTGGGTTCCTGTTGTGACCCTTTCTCCTTCCAGGGCCTTCTGTTAGCAGCGAGCTTTTCTCAGCTGTTAACCTGGACTGCTGTCCACCTTCCTCAGATTTCAGGACAGAGCTGCCTCAGCTCCCTTCAGTCAATACCCCCTTTTCCTGAGCCTCATAGGTGAACCCTGAAAATGCAACTGGTTGGCCAATCCATGGGTGATGGAGAATTTTTCCATGTGATCCCACGTCCCTGCCATGCCAGCAAGGAGAATGCCCCAGGCCCGGCAGCCAAAGACCATCTATACTCTTTCTTGAGTAAACCCACTGGTCTGATGCATTGGATTCCCAGAAGCTTGGGAGGGTCACCTTCCAGAGTCCCCTGTACCTGCACAGGTTGCCTCAAAGACAAACAACTTGTAATGACCTGGTTGAAGTATTAGCAGTGTCAGATTTGAAAATGCAAGTTTTAAACAAACAACTATGCGTAGAACAGTGGTTCCCCACCAAGGGACATCTCTCTTTTCCCCAGCCAGGGGACAACTAGTAATGACTGGGCCACTGTGAGTTGTCACAACTGAGGAGGGGGACAATTGGGATCTTGTAGGTAGAGGTGAGAGACGTTGCTCAACTTCCTACAAAACACTAGACAGCCCCACAACAAAAATCATCCTGCTTAAAATGTTAATGGTGCCAAACTGAGAATTGCCACTCTGCAGTCTGTTCAGTAGAACATCCCTGGAAACAAAGAGCACCAAATAGTGGTTCTTCAAATCACAAGCTACGGACAGTGACACAGTCAAGATTTACCAGCCGGGCATGGTGGTGCACACCTATAATACCAGCTCTCAGGAGGCAGAGGCAGGAGGATTGCCATACATTTGAGGCCAGCCTGAACTACATAACAAGGCCCTGTCTCAAAAAAGAAAAAAAATTCCCAGCCCACCATTCAGTCCACAGCCAGGCTCCTCCTTGGTAAAGAAAGGGGCAATCGGGGTCACATAAGCCGTTCTTGGACCACTTTTGTGATTTTTAGCATATTTGTCAAAATCTATACTTTTATCTACTGAACTTTTATTTGGCTTGTTTTTATTAAATTTATTTCAAAAGGGAAATTCCTATCACTGGCCTTACAGGAAACCAGTATCACTTGCCACTTGTGGGCAGTCATAGTGCAAAATGTGTACAATGAAATCAGAAGGGTTATTGTTGTGATTCCAGTAATTAGTCTCCAAAGCCCCTTCTTTATTAAAAAGTAGAACAGAAAAGTAGTAGAAAAGGGTTGACAGTGTTACAACAGGAAACAAGGGCCTTCTCCTTCATAGATTCAGAGTTGAAAATGGAACGACTCTGGGATTCAGTACCACATAATGGGGAAGAGCCAGGGCAGTAGAAACACTATAGAGCTGGTGTCTGTGATCTAGGTCCCCTCATCCCAGGAGACTGCACATGCTAGGTGTGTGCCCCCAGAAAAGGCTCACAGCTTCTCGGAACTTCTGCTGTTTCATAAGTAAGGCCAATCTCCTGCCTTTCCAGAGCCATGAAAGGTCACATAAAGTCATGTGAATGAATACTGTTTATAAACACAATGAGGAAATACTAAACATTAAAAGGTATATTGGGTGATATCAGAGGACGCTGGGCCCGGACTTCCTAGGCCTGACTCCCTATGTCGGCACTTACTGGCTCTATGAACTTGCCTGTTTTCTTATCTGTAAGGTGGGTAAGATAACATGGCCTAGTTTAAAAGGTTGTTCTGAGGCTTCATGGAGTTAATTCATGGAAAAGACTTCAACCAGATGTAGAGAAATGAAATGTTGGGCCATAAGGAGAAACAGCTTTCAGGGTTCAGATTATTGGTCTACTTTCCCTAGTATTTGTTATAAATTGTATTTAAACTAGTTGGAAATCCCAAAGGAAAGCCATCATCACAGAACAAGAGCCAGAACCCAAGAAATGAATGCATTCAGTTGGCTCAGGTGGTCTGTAGTGTAAGGTGCAAAGGGAAAGCACTCCCTGGGGCGGAGGAAGAAACTTCACCTCCTCGTTAGTAAATTAGGTAGAAGGCCACTGCTGGTCTCCTGTGAGGACTGAGCAAGTAAAGGACAGTGTAGGAGGGAAAGTGAGTGAGAGTGAGGTACAGCAGAAGGACGCGCTTGTCCTCGCCTTGTGTCACCCACCTCACCTGCCTCCCGGCATGAGAAGCAGGACCATCCGCCATTGACCACGAACTTCGACGCTCACTTGTGTAAGTCCGGTCCCCAGCAGCTGGGTAAGAACATGGGAACACTGCCTAAAGGGAACATAGACCAGGATCCACTTCCTCACCCTTTGCTCCTACCGTCCATTTGAGTGTGAGAACCAAAGCTGAGACTTTTCAGCAGAGTTCTGTCTCCCATGTGGGTAAAACGATTTCCTCAGGGTGGACGAGCCCCTCCTAATAGCGCAGTACCTTCTGGAAGGAACGAAGCAATGTAGTTGAACACAAAGGAGATGAGATTCACAGTTACTGTTGCTCTTCTGAGAAGAGGGAAGACGGGGAGTGCGTTTGCTCACCTGCTTAAATTCTGTGACACTATTCGGTGACCGCATGGAGAGGCTACCAAACCACTCCTGTCTTTTATTCGTCCTCTCCAGGGAGCACCCTGACCAAACGAGGACTGGATTTGGCAGTGAGAGTCTTCTGCTTCGAGGCTGCACCATCAGAAACACCGAGGTGGCTGTTGGCATTGTCATCTACACAGGTACTTGTCTGGGAAGCCTCTTATGTCCAGAGTTTTCTTAATGCCCCTCCCTCCCCCCTGTTCTGCGAATCCATGTTCAGTCGGGGGAACACACAGCAGCTCGCAGGGTAAGATCCATGGAAATTCCTATTTCTCAGCTAAGCAGACTGAGGAACAGCAACTTGTTCCCTCCACTAGATGGTGGGTGAGCATCGTTCCTCTGAGGTGCACGTGGAGAGGGATTCACGCTCGTTCGCCTCCGTTGTCTTGTGACCATGAGGAAGGTTGGAGAGGAGCTCCTCTGGCCTGCAGAGAAACCTCCCCAAACATTGCCTTACTTGTGCAGTGAGAGGAACATCTGTGTCTCCACCAAACGCATCCATGAGGACCAAATAAACCGACGCACAGAGGGCACACAGCGCTGTCTAGTGAAGGGAGAGCTTGGATCACATCCAGGGCTTTGCACGTGCTTGCACGTCTCTACCAGAGCCACATCCCCAGCCCCACTTTTGTGCTTTTAACTGTTATTCTATAGCCCCAGATACAGTGGCTGTATTAGCCCGCTGTTCACGACTGCACTGATGTAGTCCAGGCTGCTAATTTGGTAAAGAGCAGAGACTTCCTTAACTCACAGCCTGGGAGGTGTGGGACATGGTACTGGCCTTGCCTCAGCTTTGAAGAGGACTCTTGGCTGTGGGAAGGAACAACCACACTACCAAACTTCACTCCAGGATACATTGGGATCCCATGGTGCACCCACAAAGGACCCCGGGACTTCGTGCTAGGTCCCACCTCTTAAAGGTCCACCTTCCAGCACCAGCACATCAAAGAAAGCCCAAGCTCCCAAAACATGAACTTTCAGGGAATGACAACATCCAGAACATGGCAGGGGCCTTCCCTCTTTGCTTTGGAACCTGAAATCTCTGTTAAAGGCAAAGAGGAATCCCCAAGTGGGTGGTGGGAGTGGCATATGAGGGGACACATTTGGGGACAGTAGTAGCCAGTCCCTGGGTGGCCCAGGGTAAAATCCAGTCTTGTTCTGCATGTTTTTGTGCTTGTTGGTCAAACTTTCCATGCAAAAGGGACCCCCTGTTCCTGCCCTATCAGAGTGTGAAGTTCAAACAAGATGATCTGTGAAAAGGCCTGAACACAATGCCTAGAATGAACTATGTGCTCAAAAAAAAAAAAAATGTGAGTGACATTGTGAGCTGGAAGATGTTTCACAGCAAGGGTCTGTCTTGCAAAATAAGCCTCATTCCTCTCCCAAGTTGTGAAAATCGAAAATTTCTCCAGGCATTGCCCACTGTCCACTGGGAAGTAGAGTCACTCCCGGTTGAGGACATCCGGCCCAGTTACCTTCCCTCCCTTGGTATGGTCCATGAACTCAGTAGGAGTCAGAGGCCCAGAGGGGCCCCATTGAGCTTTCCAGAAGGAAGGGATTCAGTGTGAGCTTTGTGCTCCTCACAACAAACAGCTGTAGAGACCTCCCTGTGTGCTGGGGGCAAAGCCACTGTGCATCAGTTCACTCTCACACCCTAAATGCACAGCCGTTTTCTCTCGTTCGGCAGGTGAGAAGTTACACAAGTGAGGTCTCGTGTCTCCTGAGATGAACTCTCTGTAACCCAATGCCACGTACATTATCTGCCGAGCTGAGTCCTGTCTGATTCTGCCACACTGCCTCACCTCTGAGCCCACCTCTGGCCAGCCCAGAGGACTCGGAAGGTGAGCAGCAGGTCCAGGACCCGTGTACAGGTCGACCTGCAGGCAGGAAGAGAATCGAGCCTCTGTCTGGTGCTCACTGTGTTGCTGGCGAGAAGTCCTCCCGAGCACAGCAACTTGAGTCTAATTTAGTAAGTGTGGAGTCTGTTCACTCCTACTGTTTTGTTGATGCTTTAAATCCACACGGCAGCCAGCTAAACAGCATTAATGCCAATTGCTTCTGGAGCTGATACATCAGCCTTCTTTAATTCTGCACCAAAAATATGTGACTAGCATTTCTCCATTTGACTGCTGAGAAATACAGTGTGGTAATTAAAATTTGGCCCCAAAGGAGAGGTTGTGTCTGAAGACAGTGTCTGTCTGACAGTGTCCTAGGTCTTAGCTGTGTGGCCTTGGGCATCATGAGTTGGCAGATGGAGAAATAGACTAGGAATCGGAATCTTGGCTTCCCACCACAACTGATGTCATTTTCTTCTTTCCTTTTGGGCAGGTCCCTTCCACTCTCTGACCCTCAGTTTCCATAATTAGAAAAGGGGATGAGAGGAAGATATCGATAGTATTAAAACTCTTTATCTCATCTTTGAACAAAATTTGAAGCAGATTTCCAAGATAGGCAGGGATAGTAGTAGGGTGAGGACATTTAGTTTCTACTGTTCTTACACAGGAAGCACCAAACCCTTAAGCACAACCAAGGAAATAACCATAGAAATTAATGACTCCAACCACTGTCCTACCACAGGATCTTTGCACATATAGTTCCCCTCAAAAGAAAACCTGAATTCCCTATTTTCTCTCAAAGGCCATGAGACAAAAGCCATGCTGAACAACAGTGGCCCCCGGTACAAACGCAGCAAAATTGAGCGGCGTATGAACATGGACATCTTCTTCTGCATCGGAATCCTCTTCCTCATGTGTCTCAGCGGAGCCATAGGTATGGAATGTTCTGGGAAAAGAAAACAATGTGGTAATCCTGTGTTTCTCTAGACAAGTTACTTTATTCTCTGAGCTTCGGCTTCTTCATCTATAAAATGGGGCTGATAAAAAAGTAATTGGGGCCAGGCACAGTGGAGCACGCCTGTAATCCCAGCACTTGAGAGGCTGAGGCAGGAGGATCACTGTGAGTTCAAGACCAGCCTAGGCTACACAGTGAGTTTCAGGGCAGTCTTAGCTACATGGTGAGACCCTGTCTCAAAAAACAAACAAACAAATAAAGTGATGGGACCCCATGGAAGGAAACTGCAAGTAAAACCTCCTCAAAGTAATATATGCTCTTTAAATATTAGGAAGTTTATCTGTCAGTCTTCTGTTCAAGAAATGCAGAAACCAGGGACACTGTGAGTATGGGGGGACTGCAAAACGAGCAGGCTAGAGCAAGGACTGGATAACACAGGTTTTTCTACTCTACAAGGGATCACAGATTGGTACCATCTTAGTTTCCTATTACTGTTGTAAAAAATTAACACAAACTGAGTGGCTCAAAGCAGCACAAATTTCCAGGCTACTCTTGGAGGTTGAGGTGGGAGGATTACAAGTTTGAGCCCAGCCTGGGCAACTTAGTCATTTAATAAGGCCCTGTCTCAAAAAAATAAAAAGTCTGTAGCTCAGTGTGAAAACTCTGAGTTCAACTCCCAGGACCTCAAAAACAAAAACAAAAACACACACACACACACACACACACACACACACACACACATTTATCCAGGAACAGCTCTGGAAGACGTCCAAAATCCATTTCTCTGGGTTAAGATTAAAATATCAGCAAGTTTGTTTCCTTCTAGAGGCTCTGAGAGAAGAAGAATCTATTCTTTGTATTCCTGTTGCCCACATCCCTTCTCCTTGTCTGTAGCCGCGTTCCCTTCTCTCCTGAGGATACTTGTAATCACAATCCCCGAACCCACTGAATGACCCAGGATGGCCTCTTCATCTCTCATCCCCTCTGTCACGTCTGCAGGGTCTCGCTCGGCAGCATATTCACAGGGCCCTGGAATTAGCAAGTGTCTGCTGGAGGAGGTATTACCTAACCTCCCACGGAAACTACAGGAGCCTTTCTTGAAGAGGCAGCTGTTCTGGCTGAGTCCCCTAAGGAGAAGGCATTCACTGGTGGAGGTAGATGGTAGAGGCAAGTTTAAGGGCAAGATGGGACAAGCATCTGTGGGGGAGAGAAAGAGGTCATTCTTCACTTCAGGGATGGCAGAAGCAAAACACAAAGGTAGGAAGGAGAAGCATGCTACACAGAAGAGTAGTTGGTTATTTGGTGTGGCAAGAGCAAGGCCTAGAACGGAGACCTAATCCAAGCCGGGATGTGGCCAAGTTCCAGAAGTATGGACATACTGATCCGGAGTCACTGAAGTTGATCCTCAGAATGAAGGGGGCAAGCGTCCTCTGTGAAGCTCTTATACCTCTCCCCTAGGGCATAAATGTGAGGACGGTTCACAGGCTGCTAATGGAGACCGCAAAAACTGCTAGGGTGGATCAAGAGGAGGAACTCAGGCTGAGCCCCCCACCCTGTGAGCAGCCTTAGAATCACAACATCCCTGTTTTTAGCAAGATCGTGTCCAAAAGACAGCATAGCCCTGGGTAGTGCAGCCGCAGAGAGGACACAGTGGGACTTAGTCTCAAGGGGGGCCTGGAGTTTCTGCTTAAACCAGACAAGTGTCACAGTACTTCCCATGAGGGTGGCCCGCAGGTGTGCAGAGAGCACCCCGAGTGGGTGGCAGCAGGCCCCAAGAAGGCAGTCGCCATGCTCCACCCCCGCAGGGCCACTCTGTGCCCACAGAGCCACCTCAGAACTGCTGCCCCTGCCTTGGGACAGGTTCTTCCAGGCCATGTCAAAGCTGAAAGGACAACTGAGATCCTCTCACTGGGTCTCCAGAGAAGGAAAGTTAATGATTAAAAGGCCACAGAGAGAGAGAAGGCAGAGACAGCCCAGGTGAGCCTGGCAGATTTCCCAAAACAGTAACAGGAGAGAGTTCACGGAGGACGGGGTCAGAGTTCTCATCAAGAGTAACAGCTTATATACCAAGAAGGATTCTGCTGGTGTCTCGCTGAAGCCCAGGCCTGGAGGATGGGAAAGCTCTCCAGAGAGAGCCAGCAGCATCCAGGGCTCCTTATCCAAGTCTGATTTCCTAAGGGTGGTGTTTCTTCTTTCTTTGCCCCGGATGCCCTCCTTGGGCCTTTCTCACCCTCTGCCCAGCACCTACACAACCTCCAGACCTCTCAAGTCCTCCCCCTCCCGCTCCCCCTCCC